TAAGAGTGAAAAAGCGTAAGATGGGGAATAAGAAGACGGGAAGGCTTGAGCAGTAGCATCCAAACCCCTATCCACCCTGCTCGATGCAGCAGATAGGGCACCGTTGATTATCCTCTGCGGTGGCCAGAGCATCAGCAATTTGTTTGAAGTGTGATTCATTGTATTGCGTGGGCAGGATACTGTCAGGTTGCCCAGGCCTAGACAGGAGAACGATTAGGGTTCTCAACCAAAGCCTTTGGTTCAAAAACCTGACCGCAAGGCAGCGGGTTTGGCGTTGGACTACAAGGAGTCCGTTTTAAGGAATAAGGTGCCACCCTCATTCCAACCCCCAACCTGGAGGACCAGGAGGCTGAGTTTGTCTGACCTCTAACCATTGACCAATCTGGTATGAGTGACTCTGAAGGTGCAAAAGCACCACCCAGCATAGCTAAATGGATCGCTGAGGCACACAAACCATCGCACCACGGTAAGTTCCAGCCTCATTGCGATGATATATATATATATATATATATATATATATATATATATATATATATATATATGTGCAATATGGTTGGCGGCATCCGGTTTCGGACTTGCCTGTTACTGTGACAAGCCACAGGACGCCTGCGCCTACAGAGGGACCATGGATGGCTTGCGCTGCACCACCCACAGCTCCAACCACACATCCCATATCCAGTGTAAACCCGAAGGAATAAGACCGGGAGGTGTGCGGATGGGAGCCACGTTTCATCAACGGAGCCGGCCCACACTCCTTCACAGCAAACACAAGCACACTGTATTTGGGAATCAAGCGCACACAAGGCGGTGGCTGGACCGTAGTCCGCTCCACACTGAGTGCATGGAACCACTCTTTGATCCTAATACGGCCACAAGGACCGTGCACCCCGTCCCCTCCAGCAACGACCAACTGTCTCCTGGAGCCAGTATGGACGAGGTAGTGGGTAATAGACAGGTAGGCACCTTGTAAACATGCACATCAAGCGTAGCCACACCTGGGATATCAAACAACAGCCAATCACTTATGAGAGAGAGAGAGAGACAAAGTAAATAACTCGATTAGTGCATAAGGAAACGGTGACATAAACCTTACATTAATGAGCATATGAAATAAGTTGTGTACAAACGAATCCTGGCTAAGTTCACGAGGTCAGAAAGTATACTTTACGGAAATGCCAGGAACACAAAAATGTTATGGAAATCGAATACAATTGGCTTAAGCGAGGTGTGCAAGTTAATGGAATAGAGTGCAGGTAGACATTTATACGAGAAAGAAAAGTATTAAGGCAAAATTGAAAACCCCCCACCTGAAGTAAAGAGACTTAGCATGCAAGCACGCGGTTAGTAAATCGAGTGCAACGTACCTACAAACGCTGCGCCGGTTCTGAATACTTCTCTGCAGGACCCGTCGTCGCTTCTGTAGTGATCCCGAGTGGCCTCGCTCATGGCTCACTAGACATTTATATGAGAAAGAAAGGCATTAGGACAGAACCGAAAACCCACCACCTGAAATAAAGAGGCTCAACATGCAAGCATGCGGTTAGTAAATCGAATTCAGCGTGCCTACAAACGCTGCGCCGGTGCTGCCTACGTTCACTGCGGGACCCGTCGTCGCTTCGGCAGTGGTCCCGAGTGACCCCTCTCATGGCTCACTAGGCCTGCCTGACTAAGACACTCGCGACCGCATGGTCTACAGCACCATGCGCTTGATGTCGATGGAGAACAACCCATCGGTGCTTGCCCCTTCCGCACTTACCGCTTCTTCTCTACATGCATGAGGCCTTTCTCCCACACTTCGGCAACTGCCTTCGTGATCAGATCGCGCCATGCACCACGATCAACCGCCTTCGATTCTTATGATTTGCAATCAAGATTAGAACGTGTGAGGCTCACTTTAATCATGTCCTGGTATCGTAACTTTGGTTTCCCCACGTACCGCTTCCCAATACTCAGCTGACCATATAAAATCTGCTTCGGTATCCGCGTCTAAGCCATACAGCTCACATGACCGATCCACCTCAGGTGTCTCAATGAAAGTATGCAGTCCACTGCATACATCCCACTTCGGCGCAACACTTCCGTGTCCGCAACTCTGTCGCCCCAGCCGATGCGCAAAATCCGTCGCAGACACTGTTGATGGAACCGCTCGAGAAATCGCACATCCCGCCGGTACATCGTCCATGTTTCACTGCCGTATAGAAGAACGGGCAGCACCATGGATTTGTACACCCTCAGCTTCGTGCCAACGGTAAGCTGATGGTTGTTCCACACTCGGTATTCAAGCTTCCCGAATGCCGCCGCTACCTTCAACACGCGGATATATATATATATATATATATATATATATATATATATATATATATATATATATATATATTCACAGCCTGTTAACAGATATTGTGCCATCAGAACCATGGCAAAAGAAAAAAGTGAAGAAGATAGAAACATGAACTGTGATTTTAAAAAATGGAAAACGCTTTTTTGGTTTTACACAAGTATTTTGAATTTTTCGCTGTGTTTTTGTATTTACTAAAGGGGGAGAAAATATCAGAACAACATTGGCGCCACTGATGTCTGTTGCGAGCCATGCCATCCAATGTTTCCAACCACTGAGATTCAGCATCTCGTGGTCCCCAAACTAGGAGACGGATTGGTCCGACTGCCGCCAAACTTGAAGTTGCCTTCCTCATGCTCCTTCTCCACGTTATTGGCTGTCCACTGCGGCACTTTTCCAACCTATCGCTGGGAGTGCAAATAGCGCTCGACGTAGAAGGCGATGGGCTGGCATGCGCAAAACATGACCGAGCCAACGCATGCGATGTCGGAGAATAAGGTCCTGAAGACTGGCACTACTCGCTCCGAGCACTCGGTCTCGCAACTCTGTGTTGCTTACGTGGTGTTGCCACCATACCCTAGCAATCCTTCGTAGACAGCTGTTGTCGAAGGCTGACAGCCGCTTCATGTCCGGCAGGAACAAATTACTCAGGGCACGCAAAGAGCACGAGTGAAGCAGCAAGGTTAGGATTCTCTGGATCACCGAGCTCGCCGATAAATACGAAGGCTGTTGACAGCCAGGTAGCTCATACGCCTTCACAGAAGTCAGTGACCACCGAGGTTGTTCATCCGCCCTCCGTTGAATACTCACATCTAGCCGTGGAAGTGAGTGGTCAGTGACCCTATAGCCGGTCACATTGACTTTGATATAGCGTCTTACGAGCTCCAGTGATATAGAAAGTGAAACCATTTGACCAGCCCAGTATCTCCCACGCTCTGATGTTCATAGGTTCATAGGTTCATAGGATTGTAGAGAGCAGAAGGAGAAATCCTTTGTCAGCTCCATCGCTTCCCAATCATTGTGTGGAGGCCGCGATTCGATGTTATGCGGTAATCCACAAGGGACCTTGACAGCTACACTGGAAACTGCAAGGACCCATCGTACTCAAAAGATAAGAGTCTAACATTCGCTTGAAACATTCCTCCGTCTGGGCCTCGACCACATACTTCGGCAAGTTATTCCAATCGTTGACTACGCGAGTTGATAGAGCGAGAGCAGGATGAATCCGAAGTCTTCTGGGTTTAAACAGTTTCCAGTTGTGGCCTCGAGTTGAACTGTTTGGATTGGATTGAAAGCACGCCTGCAGCTCCGTCCCCATCTCTCCTCTCAGGATGCGCCTGGTGAAAATCAGGTCACCGCGAAGTCGGCGATAATCCAGGGTGAACAGATTCATCCGCTGAAGTCTTCGGGGATAAGGCAAGTCGCGTAACTCCAAGATGTATTTCGATGCACGCCGTTGCACCTTCTCAATTAGGTCACATTCGAACTTGGTGAGAGGGAAGAGGGCAGGTAATCCGTATTCGAGAATGGGGCGGACATGGGAAGTAAACAATAGTCGGAAGATATCCGGAGTCAAACGCGAGAAGGCTCGTCGTATAGCGTGGGACATCCTGTTGGCAGCAGCAACCCTTCGTAACGTGTCCTGTGTAGTCCGTAGATCAGATGACACCAACACGCCGAGGTCTTTTTCTAGGATTGAGGTTCTGAGCAACGTCCCACCGATGTGATACGTCCCGAAAGGCTCAGAAGCACCGATGGGAAGGACCGAGCACTTATCGCGATTTATGGGCAATCGCCATTTGACTGACCACTCATGTAACGTGTCAAGTGTAGCCTGTAATCGGTCCGCCTCGTCAAGACAGGATACCTCCATCCACAATTTCAAGTCATCAGCGTAAATCAAGCAATCCAACTGAAGTTCCGCCGGAAGGTCATTGATGAAGATCTTGAAAAGTTCTGGGCCCAGGACCGATCCCTGTGGGACACCGCTAGTCATGAGCACGGGAGCGGAGTAAGTCTCGTTCACGTCGACTCGCATTGTCCGGTTATCCAAGAAATCAGCGATCCAAGAGAGAACGTTCCCAGAAACACGAGTCTTAAATATGCAATTTACAGCCGAAAGAAACGTTAAAATTTGAATAACCTCCTCCCCAGTGTTGTCAAAAGCAATGTTTCGATACTAGACGATTACATCAAATCCAGCTTTGCAAATGGGAAACTGCACATAAGGCAAGCGGTAGATGGATAGCGTCTAGAACTGCAGCGATGGGACCAGGTCGAGTCGGGACCGTATGTCAAAGGAAACTGTCTTCACGACAGCGACCGAATAACTGATGGAACGGGGTAAAGTGTTCCACTCAGTCCCTTTAGAATACTCTCCCAAGTCAAAGGAAAAGTAGCCGTACGGGGGCGTTGTGTTTGGGTACGCAAGCGCACGTAATTGCAACAGATCAGTGCTGCTAGATGGCATCGATTCAGAAAATGACAGGCAAGAACGCGGACGTACATAAGTAAGTTAAAATGGAATAACTAGTGATATGGGGTGACTAAAGACTTATCCAAATCTCGACGTGCAGTGTAAGTACACAAATATGCCAACGAATTAAACGACAAATAATAATTCACAGTGTGAATACCACACGCGAAGGAACAAGAATCAACTTACTGAAGCTCTGTGAATGGTCCTTAATTGAGGAGGTGAAAAGATGGGTAGGAGGATTGTAGATAGTCCCGTACATGTTCAACATCCTGGAAAAATCCGACCCCAGACTGGCCCAACCTAACCTCAGAAATTAGGTCACTGAGTAACTAAAACAAAATAATACATGCAGCCTCTTAATGTTACTTAATTCTTTGTTTAATATATAGTTAACAAAAAAATAAAGTTACTATGGTAGAACCTTTAAATCTTTTATTCTTTGTTTATTGTTCATTTAGTTCATGATGTGGTAGGGAGCAGTAGATAAGGTCAGGTACAACGGTGGATAGAAGCTCTAGCCTAACGAGCATCCTGTTGCTTTTGCCACTAAGCGGAGCGTCCCCCGGGCACTTCGACGTTGGATTGACGCTTTCTGCTTCTTTTCTTTCTTCGTTTATTGTTCAGTTAGTTCATGATGTGGTAGGGAGCAGTAGATAAGGTCAGGTACAACGGTGGATAGAAGCTCTAGCCTAACGAGCATCCTGTTGCTTTTGCCACTAAGCGGAGCGTCCCCCGGGCACTTCGACGTTGGATTGACTCTTTCTGCTTCTGCAAAGGAGTGAAGCAAGAACGAAAGCAACATTTGCACCTTCATGTGTCAGCATCGATATACACTACATATTCCAGTACAATTGCAATTTTCATATGTGGAGGTCCCGTGCCAACTCAATGTCTCCTATTTTTATAGTGTTGTAGGCATCAGATGGAAAAAGACCCGTATCATCTCCTTCGCCCCCCCCCTATTCACTGGCTGGATGGTGCGTGTCCTTGCCAAACTCTTCACTAAGGGATCTACACAGCTGAAACGGTACAGTGGCATCCAGGCTTCCTCAGCATCTAGTTTTAAAAGGGCTGCTTGCAAGCTTCCCTTGACAACATATGCCGGAACATCTTTCCATTGATTCATGTCACATGCGCGTAACATGTCGTCGGAGCGGACGTAGAGCCGCCGCGCTTCAAAGTTTCTACTTGTGACCCCGTGTCGCATAACCTACATTGACTTGAAGTACTCTTGCACCTCGGTACCCGTCTCTCTTTGGAATAGGTCATGTGTATATCAGAGTTCCACGACGACGACGATGGTACAAAGAGAACAATTTCAGGCTTTGAAGTTGAGATTCACAAGACAGCGCACAGCACTGATACCGACTTGGATCCACGCCACTAACCATTATCTATTAAAACGCATTCAACCTGTGAGTGGAAAGCGGGTAGTTCGTTTGACAATATTAGTTTGACTTGGGACGGAAACAGGAGCTTGTTGATCTCAGGTGTCATTGTTGTAAATGACCTCCGTGGTTCGATGAGTGCTCTGTTGGCGGAGGCGGCTTTCCGCAACCTGTCCGGGATGGGTTTTTTACTTAGGTGATATAATCACACGCAAGTCTTTTGCAGAAGCGGTGTTGTTTAACTGGAAACCACCAATGCGGTAGGTTGGGTAAGGTACCGGAGAACCGCTTAGAGGAAGACAGCATTTTTCAGGGTTGTTAGGTAACCCACTTCACCTACCGATTGTGCTGCAAGCCGGGCGTCATTTGTAATTTGTCCGAAGCTTCAAATCTAAATACTACTGACCATAGTTTGTGATCAGTTTAGATCAAGCAGTCAGTATTAAGTACTCCTGGAGGGTCGTTGACTATTATTTTGAAACGTTCGTGACCAAGGACAGCGCCCTGTGGAACCCACTGGTCATGAGAACAGTCCCAGTGAGAACCTCATTGAGCTTACATTTATAGTACGACGAGCCAATAAATCAGCGATCCAGGCGAGAACATTGCCAGTGATGCCAATCTTCCGGAGCCTGAGAAGGAGTCCTTCATGTGGAACAGTAGCAACTGCTTTCCTGCAAGCGACAAAAGCAATCTCTAGGCGATTAACGGAGTCCGCTAAGTTTTCCCACCTCACATACAATAAGTAGTTTGGTGCTTCAAGAGCGTGCTCTTAAGCAAAGGTGCTGAGCTAGAGTAATGCTGTCCGGAGCCGTAAGGTGAAGCTGAAGGGCTCTTTTGAAAATCCTTTCCATTGCCTTGAAATTGACCGACGTCAGGTATCCCGGTCAGTAATTCGCAGGAACCTCTCGGTGTCCTCCTTTGTGGACTGGCTTCACCATACCTACTTTCCAATCGAGCGTAATGCAGCCAGCCTCCATGGAGTGCCGAAACACTTTACGGATTTGGTCGGTGGCATACTCAGTTAGGGTCTTCAGTAACAGACGGCGTAATTTATCAGGGCCTGGCGAACAGTACCGATACAATTCGAGAAAATTTCCATTCACCATGTTGGTGAAGGGAGTGTGATGGGTGGGCGCATAGTCATTGCATAATGAAGCCTCAACCGAGTACAGTGATGAATATTGCGAAGCAATAGGACAGCCTTTCGAATTAGCACCCTGAACTATAGCTTCATCCTTTGGCCGATACATGGCAGGTATGCTACAAGCAACCATAACACTACTTTTTAGGTACAAGCGAAAAGTTTTCGGTCACTACAAGATTGTTCAGTCAGACGACGCTCATACGGTTCCCGCTTCTCGTGTCTTCATCAGTGCATCCAAATTTTTGAGCACTTTGTAATCACCATACTCGGACGCCGACCGTGAGAACTAGCATCTGTCCCACAATTTTTGTTTTCCATACGGTTCTCTATCAATACAAGGAGGGCCTTTAGATACAAGCCCCTCAGAAACGGTTACTAAAACTTCCTCGACAACAGTGAGCAATTTTAAGCGAAGGTGGTCCCAAGCAGTTTCGAGAGCCAACTGCTGGGGTGTACCCCAGTCCATAACACTTGCATCCATTTGTAGGCGGAGTGGAGCAGCCCACCAGTACCTTCGGCGAGGTGTGGCGCGGTGCTGAAGGGTAAGTAGTCTTGTCAATAGGAAGGAAAGCACATAATAATCACTTGACCCAAGTGGCTGGAGTATCTCTGTATCAGCTTCGTCGGATGTTTGGGGCGAGTACATGAGGTCGAGGATATGCGGCGGTCGGCCTGGAATTTTCCGAGTAGGTGACGAGACAGTTTGTGTTAGACATACATCGACGACACTTTCTTGTAAAAGAGAAGCGAAAGCTCTTGCGGTGAAACCACAGCGAAGTAAACCCAAGTTGACGCTGTGGACTTTGAAACCTATTATTATGTAGTCCTTGCCTCTGCCGTGCATTTTGACTAAGTCCAGCATTCAGGATCCGAAGTCGATTGGGGGTCTCTGAATAACCCAACCCATGAGCGGATTAAGTCCGTCGTGCACATGACACCAAGTATCTCCGAATCAACAGCTGTATCACAAACGGCCTCTACTGTATCCCCTCAACTCAGACTTCCAATAGAGTATGACGCCACCTCCAGGCCTCGTATCAAGGTGATCAGCACGAGAAAACTGATAGCCCGGAGGGTGTGTTTCGGTATCCAGAACACCTGGGGACAAGCACGTTTCGGCAAACGCCCTTAGGGCAGGCTGATAATGTAAAGCGCGGAGACGAATCTCGTCCAATTAATTTCGCAGGCTTTGCATATCGGTGGACAGCACACGCACTCTAAGCTTAAACCCTATGGCACGGGTGCCACAAAGACTGTCCGCCATCAAACTTTCGGAGTCCATCATACTACACGAAATTACACAATACAAGGAGTAACTTCACAATTGCCTCGGCGGGTCTCATTTTATCAACGGCCTTCTCTATTCTCCCTCGGTCTTGGGGGCAGAGATCCATCCAGATATGGAATATTTCTCGCTAAGACGCAACGTCCGCCTGAGGATGCGACAACATTCCTCTTCATATTGACAAACGATTTACAGCTGACGCACCTTGGTAGGGTCCTCTTGCTTCCGACCGAGGCTAAAGCTAGCGTTCACAATGAACCATTTTCCCATTCGTTGAACATAAAAGAAAGCATCCGCTTTAGAAAGCGTAATCTTCTATTATTCTCTCGGACGGCGTTTCTCTGTAAGGTTCGGGAGCGTTCACACTTCGCAAACACTGATCACGCGGGGAACGCTGCTTCCAGCGGAAACAGGCGACGTTTGTGGCTTTTGGTGTGCCTTAACTAAGTCTGCTAACTAACTCATTTTGTCAAGAACCAGCTTCAGTTGGCGAGCTATCGGAAATTAATCGGTTACTTGGCTCCGAGGACCCCACATGCCAGACATTCTTGTGAGTGGACAGCCATCGCTCTTCTTGCATATAAGTTAGTACACCTGGCTTTTATTATCGTTTATTCACGTTTCTGTCGTATTAGAACAGCTCCGGACAGATACACCGCTGGTGTGATAGCTGAGTTTTGGCAAGTGCCACATCCCGTACCGCCGGTTTGGTCTACATCGGAAACAATTGCATCAAAATTACTCAGCAGAAAAGTAAGGCTCAAAATGTCGAACAAATTTCCCGTATTGAGCCCTAATACGAAAGGCACAATAACCATTCGTTTCTGGGAACTAGCTCTCAGAGCCATTCTCGTTGTGGCACCACACATACAAGCTACAGTGTATTGTACGCTTGGTAGTAAATCGTTTATTTTGCGGATACTCATTTTTCTATTTATATCGACCAACCTCCGATGTATCATTTGATCTAGCCCAACGTCTGTGGCTATATAAACGTTGTACGAAGTCATTAACCTTGCATTATCTATCTTGCAATTACGCAGCATTGATAAACTGATAGGGGCTGACCGAATCACGAGCAACCCTGACAAACGCAGACACATAAACTGTAATTCCGTAGATATACTCGTTACCAACCAGCGATATTAAAATTTGTGGTTTCTAGCTTTACAGCGTCGGTTGACGCTCAACATTTACGAGAATCCTCAAGACGAGGCCTTTCGACGTAGACTACTTAAGCCAGTCGAAACCTGTAGTAGCTCACTAACGTTCTTTTAAGGCTTACTAGTGTTTTATATGAATAACTAAATAGGTTTATGCCCGAAGAAACGAGACACATCAATAAAGACATGATCAAGTGTTTGTCAGAGGCACAGACACAAATTGAGCATCTATGCACCGTAGGACATAAACAAGTGTTCGCAACATACACGGTTGAATAAATGGTA